CATCTTTGATTTCAGCCAGTTATTCATGAATTCCAGCAAAAATCATGGTTTCGCCAGCAGAATCACTGTAAACCTTCGTTATCAACAAATTGTCAGAAAAAGTAAATCAGCTGACAGGCAGATTACCTGTATCCGGGCTGTAAATGAAGATCCGCTGCTCTGGGATGATAACGCAAATCCACTCGGGCACCATTTTCGCGGATAATATATTTTGCTCCCGGATACTGACTGTCGCCGCGATTCACCAGTTCTTGCAGCCTGAAAATAAGCATATGACACGCTGCTATTTTTACTTAGATTATATGCTTTGGCCAGGAAAAATGCGTCGAAATTATGCGAACTCAGGCCTGAAATGACTTTAGCGCCTCCTCTGCAGGCTCAATTATGCAGCAGTTCTCACCCGTTCTCCCTCCTCCTAAACGAAAATTTCAAAGAAACAAAATAAACTTATGAACTGCGATACCAAAAGTGACCCATCAGTGACCCAAAAACATCGTTGTTATAAAAAAGTAAAGACTTCATCAGTGTCCACTTTTTTTCGTTCCCTCCCCTCTCCCGCCGCCAGCCCCTTCTTCCTTTCCTCTTTTCCAACAGCGATAACAATAGTTATGTCAAAAATTCAAGACTCCGGTCCCAGATTCGTTTCCCGCAAGGGAACGCACACAGTAGAGATTAAAATGGAAAAAAAAAAGAACGAACTTATCAATATTGAATGGCGTTACAATCTCCGGGAATGTCATATTTTGGGCGATTGTACGCGGTACGCCAACTGTATCTATGGGTAAATTTGGATCCGGTGTAATAACTGTTCGAGCTGAGAAATCCACTCGTTTACCCATCAAATTTCCACGAATTCGGCCTTCCTTCCCCTTCAGGCGCTGTTTGATGGATTTCAAAGGACGTCCGCCTTTTTGTGTTGCCTGAAAAATCAAGAAGTGCAGAGTAGTGCAATGAAAGAACCCCACAAAACGCACTTTATATTTTACTTGCTATGAAAGGCAGTGACAGTCCGAAGTAGCTGGGGTAGCAGCACGTGCCAACAGCAACCACTCGTTGGTAAGGTTGCTTTTTGACAACTGCTTGAATGCAATCTAATAAAGATTTTTGGCAGGTATCATTACCAATTTAACATCGAAATGAATCATCAAAGCAAAGGTCTTCTACACCACATCAAATTTTGTCAAATGCCAAAAATTTTCAAAATGGCTGTTTGAGAGGAAAAAGAAAAAGGCCGAGTTAGGGGCAGGAAAGAGTGGGAAAGGTTCCGTGAATACATCCTGCATTTTTAGTTTTTACTATATGGATGCCCAATAAAGGAAGACAAAGCTTATTTCTGTAAATAATAATCAACAATGAGCAGTTCTTATTACTACAGCCACGAACAGTACCCCAAGCATCCTTTGGGAAAAAATATGAGGCAATTTATGCAAAAACATACAGCGGGAAGGCCTGGAATGGAATTGTCGACTAGCGTTGCCACGTGATACTGCAACAGTTTGACATCTTCGGCAAGCACGTGTGCAGCTGCACCATTTGCCTCATTTCTGAAAAAAAAAAAAAAAACGAAATTTAATCTAAAATATGCGATATGCTAATTCTAAGCTTAACAGTAAGTAAAATATTTTGAGTTTTGGGTTGCCAGTGCCTCTAGAAAGAGAATTTAGATAACCCACTAAGTATGTGAGCTGTTAGCTGAAACTGTAGCAACCAGGTTGACTCTGGACGCCTAAATGACGAAGGCGTGATGGATCACAGCATGAGAGAAGAGGATAAGAGTAAGATAAGACGTTTCGGTCCATTAAATTATATACCGTCTTAACTTAACACCGCGACAGAACAAGAATTCTCTCGACTGCTAACTGTAGATACTGGACGTGGTGTTCAGTATCTACAGCAGCTATGGGTTGCCAGTCCTTGCGCGCAGGTTGCGACACGTGGAACACGTGACTACCGAGTTCACAATTCTTACAATTACGCCTCAGCAGTGTGAAATAAGCGATTTATGGGCACTTACCTAGCTAGTACCAATAAGCTCGAAAAGAGAACCTAACTCTGAATCTGGGAAAAAATAAGGTCTTTGGTTGCCTTGAGGACGGCACAGCAATCTATATTATCCATTTATCCCTTACTTGACAGGGTCGCCCTAACAACCGGCAATAGGATTCGCTGAAACTACTGCTATACTGCTGCTGTTGCTAACAAGCCGAATGGTATCTATACAGTGTTAAGCGAAACTCAGGTCCAAGTTAAAAAATACCGTTTTTTCCTATCAAAAAAAGCAGAATGTACCTTTTTAACTGATTATTGCTTTTAACAATATCGGCAAGTTTGTGCGTTAAATCATCCTGATTACGCGCCGAACCAAATGTTATAACGGCCGGTCGGACAGACAGTGGTGGAACTGGTATCACCTGCGTAATCATCCAATCCGGGCGTGCAAATCGAGGATCCAGACCTGAAATGTTTCCCAAATGACAATAAATCAGAACAGAACTCTCAAATTTCGCGAAATGAAAAAAGAATTTACCAAGTATGAGGCAATCGGAATCCGAAATTGACTTGAAAATTTCCAGTGCACGTTCCGCCGACAGGACAATTTTTCTTTCCTGCAAAACATGAATATTTTAGACAGTGAACCACAGGCAGGTTCAGCCTAGTACTAAGCAACGCTTCTCTTATGAAAATTACGTTATGATAGTGGAAAACCAATTCCATAGCGTCTGGCATTGATACATGCCAGGAGGCCAAAAACCACAGCTGGAATGTTCCAAAAAACCACAGGACAGTGACAGAGGAGCTCTGCCAGTAAGATGGCTGCTGTGGCAGTATGCTACCATTCGAGCTAATTCCAAAAAACCCCTCTCATCCAAAGAATAAAACACAGGGAAGGTTTAACATTTCCTTGGAAAAGGTGCTTTATTTCGCCTTGCTGCCAAGACTCCTCATGTGCAAAGAGAAAAATTTCGAAAAAAAAAAAAAAAAAGAAAAAGAAAAAGAAAAATGCACTTAATAAACATGCAAAAAGCGGGAAAGGTAACCTGTGTGTCTTCGTTGATGTGCTTCTTCCATTCGGCCATAATTTCAATGCCGACACGCTTGTATGATGGCTGATATCGGCCACATCCTCCAGCTTTAACCTCTTTCTCGCCATCTTCACCATCCTGAAATACAGGCCGTTTTTTTAGGTTTAAGGCCTAAATATCATATTATTAAAACCCATGTTTCTTTTTTTTTATCATCATGTAGTATACATTACTAACATTTGGCCAACAGTAAGAGAAAGTTATAATAAGAAGGAATGAAATAAAAAGTGAAAAAAAAAATGGAAAAGGAAAGGTAAGAAATGAAAAATTAGAAAATTTGTGAGATTACTTTAACT